TTTCTCTCTTTCTCTCTTTCTCTCTTTCTTTCTCTCTTTCTCTCTTTCTCTCTTTCTTTTTAAGGAGTCAGACCTTAAATTATCCAAAGGGAACGAGAGGAGAGGAGAGTCTCTTCTCCCCCATGCCTTCCGCCAGAACATGCAACCAACTTGAGGAGCAGCTCTCCCCGCCAGCACCAAAGGCAGGACACCCCTACCCGCACCGAAACCAAGGCTTCAAAACACACCGCTGCGGTTCATCTGCGGAGGGACGCAATGAAGGCAGCTCCCGAGGCTCTCCTTCGAGACCCTGGAAGTTAGGAACGTGGAACCTCTCGGTATAGGCATCAAATTTATTCCAAAAATTCCATGAAATATAAAGGAATGGCGGTGCTTTTACACAGAACTCAACTCAGTATAAGTACTGGGGTGTTCTCCCTCCAAATCTTAAGAACTATGCAAATCTGTGCTATCTTTAAAAATAAAATAAAGATATTTCAATAATTAGAACAAACTATGAAGGTATTGTGCATTTCTGTTTTATGTAGATAATAAAATATTACTTTAACATAAATATATAAGGATCTCTGCGTTTTTATTTTTCCCCACAAGCACATCCAAATGTACCAAAACAAAGTATTTTTAAAGAGACTGAACCAAAAAAAAAATTACATCCCATATAGATTTTGTTCACCTACTCATTTAAAGCTACAGAAAAACAGTTTCCATAACCTGTTTGCTTTAAAAGAAATAAATATACATTGAGGCAGGCCACTTAAAAATGATATGAAAATATTTCCCTGGGTAGCATTTAAAAAAAAAAAAAAAAGAAAAATAGACAAAGAAAACATTGAAACTATTTCTGCATTTCAAAGGACAAATATTAAACATATATACATAGTGGTAAGGTTTGCGTGGTAACTTTTTTGTTTTTTTTTAAGTAAACCTATTTGGAGTTTGAGGCTTTTCTCAAACATCCTCTCGACTCCGTTTTCTGACCTTACGCACGTATTAATAAGTGTCTGAAAGTTCATTTCCTCCCTTTACCACTGGATCTGCCCTGATCTGATTCACTTCACTAGGCGCTAGTCCTCAACACTTTAAATAACAAGCAGCTCAATACATCCAAAAAAAAAAAAAAAGGGGGGGAAAAAAAAAGAGAAGAAAAGAGAAAAGCTTGGTGCCCGTATCTTTGTAACAATTGTTGGAAAACTAGGAAAAAGGCGAATGCATGTGCCTCTTAGAAATCATCATCTGTCTTACCAAGAAGAAAGAAAGAAAGGGAGAAAGAAAGACAGGGAGAGAGAAAGAAAGAAGGAAAGAAAACCCAGTGTCACAGGCGCTTTAAAAGACAATGAGAAACATACTCTAAAGCCTTAGCTACTGAATGCAATATTTATAGGAGAGTTCTGCGAGAGAATGCTTCACTGTTTTTTCTCCATAATTGTCCAACACTCAACTAAGTAAACTTTTAGATTATAAAAATGCTTTGTCTCTACAGCACCCGTTTGTGCTGACTAAATGATCCCTTTATGAATTTATAACTATCGCAGTTTCAAGTCCCTCTAATGTATATGCATAGCCGTGCGTGTGCAGAAGTACACAAACGCACGCACGCAGGCACACGCACATACATGCGCTGCTCCCAGGTCCCGCTCCTCCGCTTCCCTTTAGAGCTTTTTGTTTTGCTTTTTGTTTCCTTTCTTTTTTTTTTTGTCCCCGTGGGTTTTTTTTTTTTTTTTTTTTTTTTTTTTTGGAAAGTTAACCGTTTCCCATCGAGATAATGTCACGAAATGCACTTTAAAACTATTAACGAAGGGGGGGGTGTGAGAAAGACGGATTGAAAAATGGCATTTTTTTTTTCCCCACTTCATTTCATTCCCCAGTGAAAGACACAAGGCTGCCCAAGTTAAAACTGGTCCTTTCCTTCAATAAATTATACCGCAATCTGACCAAAGGAGGTGGGGAGAGTGGGGGGGCGGGAGGGGAGGCTAGATACAAATAGAAAAACAAAAAAAATATGAAAAATAAAAGCGAAAAAGAAACGCACGGGGTCTCTGCGGAGAGGAGGGGGCAGCGTGTGTTTACACGCAGGTGGAAGCAACCGGGCACACCCCCC